GAAGCCTCAGGGCTGTGCTGAGAAACATGGCTTTGGTTTTATGATCTGGTTTCCCTGCTTTAGGCTGTTTTAAAGTGCTTTACTTTAAATTCTGACCACCTTTCTTTCTTCTTCTAGATGTCAAAAAAATCCAGTGAAGGGAACACCCAAAGCAGTATGTAAACCCACAATCTCTCACCTTTTTGTCTGCACACCACAGTTATTTATAAACAATTAATGCAAATCCTTATGTTAATATTCTAAGTATTGATGTATTTTCCAGTCAAGTGCAGTGTGTGTTATAAATACAGCTGATTTGACTCACTCAGCACAGTTTTTTTCAGTAAAACCTGAGTCAAGCCATCATTTGCACAGCTCCCCAGGAGAAATCAGCTCAGTCCTGATTGTTCCAGTTGGTATCTGTGGGAGGGGGGAGTATGGCTGCATTGAAAAAAACCCCCAAACAATACAGGGCTGTGCTATGAGTCCATCTGTTCATCACCAGTTAAAAATTGTGTTTGGTCTGATAGCAAGGAGAATAATAATAAATTCTCCCACTTCTCAAACCAGTGTGGGTAACATGGCCCATGGTCTAATAAAAGACATGAAACCCGTTATTCTGAGCAATAAGTTGATCTCAGGCAGGTTTGTCTCTTTTAGTTTCTTTTCAGAGGCTTTCCTAATCTGTCATGAGGTTGGACTTTGTTTTGAACAAGCACCCATGGCACTAGGCTGGAAATGCCTTTTTCAGTGGCAGAGGATGGAGCGCAGACTTTCAGACTACTGTGGAGGTTAACTATTGCCATGGTTTGCTTGTAGAACTTGAATATGTGTTTCATTTTTTTGGACAGATGGCTGACCCTTCTGTACCTTCTCCTCTGGCCCAGCTCATTGAGGTATAGATATCATTCTCCAATACTAAAAGAAAATATTTGTTTGCTTCATACTTTTAAAATGTTATACCGTGTTCTATAGCTGGATAACTGTTGCCATGTGAACAAAACTTTATTTTTAGTAATGGTCAGACTGTTGAAAAGAATCTTTGTCCTGTGGAGGGGTTATGAAAAGCTTGTTTCCTTTGAATGCTTCTGTGTCTGAGGCTGAATTTCAGCAAGCAAAACCAACTGCCCTACCTTTGCAACGGTGTGCCCTCTTAATCTGCAATGTAAACAATTCTGCTTTTACACCCATCCTTCTCAATTACAAGTGCAGCAGAGACTTTCTTCCAATAGTCTGGAGCTTGAAAATCAGTTTTAAAAATGCTGGGTAGTACAACCTTTCCAACACAAAGCTTCAGCCCTCTTGGAAGCAAACTGGGCTGGTTACCCAAGAGTTCCTGCGAGGTACAATCAGAACCCAAGGCTTTGAGTGCCCCAGGACGCTCTTTCCAAGTGGGTCCCCAGTCCCATAAACATCTTGAAATGTCGCAAGGGCTCCCCAGAAGATCCTCAGGACAGCTCTGGTTTATACAATCAGCTTGTTTTCACCTAGCCACAGCCAGCACTGGGGCTGCTCTTTCCCAGGGCTGCTGTGAGTGATGTCATCTTCGGCTGTGGGGGGTTAAACACATTCCTAAGGTGTTGTGTGTCCAATCCTCCCCTGCTGCACAGAGCCCCAGCCTGGCTGAGACCGACGTTCCCGAGGAGGAGAAGATCAAAGTCATGATGATGCAGTCCTGCTCTTACTACAGTCCCAGCAAGTGAGTGTTGGTTGCGTGTCAAATCTTTGAGGGTGATGGAAGAATTCTGGAGATGTTTTGAAAAGGGACACGCTTACAAACCTTTTTCCTTTTTTATTTTTCCCCCCCCAAAACTTGCAGTTACCTGAAGGCACCCTTGGGTCCACTCCCACCACCCAGTGCTTGCTTTAAATGCGGACAACAAGGTCACTGTAAGAAGAAGTGCCCAAACACAGGGGTAAGACTGGGGGAGAACTTGTGGGCTTAATGCAGTTTTTAAGGCTTTTTACCTTGGTAATTATGCAGCAAACACAGGAATGCTCCCATGAAGGATGGTTTCTCTTGGGGTGAAGTACAAAGGTTGTGTGCCAATGTTGGAACGCTCTTCAAAATTCAAGGGAGACCTGAAGTTATCAATGAAAAATTTCCTTTTTCCAAGGTCCTGGGCAATAAATATGCCTGTAGATCTCTCTCTGTGAGAGACACCTATTTGTATATATTGAAATATATATACATTTATAAATATTCTGGAAATTCTGATGGTTTAAACTCTTTCCAATGACAATTCATGGTATTTGATATTTTGTATAAAAACACAATATTTCTGTTGACCTCCCCCATTGAATATTTGTGTGTTGTCATTGCACAAGGCTCTGGATGAGTATTCACACCCTTTAATGTTTAAATGTGTGTGCATGGGGGATGAATTCAGCCTCAGCTGTAGATGGGGAACAGATGTTTCCCCCCTGACTGATTCAGAGCCCTGGATTCAGCCCTTTGGAGGAGGAGTGGATTTTCGTCCCTTCTCTGAGCCAAGGGGCATTTCACCCTCAAGGAACCTGAAGTTAAATCCAAGAACTGAGTTCAAAACTCTGCTTCAGCCTCTGGAACATCCTGGCAAATTCATTATGTGTTCATGATTATTCCCATATTGACTCTGGGAAATAAATATTTGGAGGGAGCAACCCCTGCGTTAGATAAAAGGAGAGGATTAAATGTTTTACTGCTTCAAATAATCACTGAAACATCATCTTAAGCACGGGGTTTTAAGATCAGTGGGCATTTCTTTTTCCCAGCAGAACAAAAGCGTGGAGGGTGTGCCCAGAATTAAAAGGAGCTCAGGGATTCCAGCGAGTTTCATGGTGGAGGTGAAGGACCCCAACGCAAAGGGAACGATGATAACACCCAAGGGAAAATATGCAATACCCATCATTAATGTGTGAGTGTGGGATTAACTGGGCTGGGCCAAAAGTGAACAAGGGAAACCAGGTGGAAACACCTGAGTGCTGAGGCCACCCCAGTGGCAGCAAAAAAAGAGGGAGAAGGACTTTTTATATGGGCAGACAGGGACAGAAAAAGGGATATGTGGTGTTAAACTCGCATAGGGCAGGGTTAGATGGGATATTGGGAAGAAATTCTTCCCTATGAGGGTGGGGAGGCCCTGGCACAGGTTGCCCAGAGAAGCTGTGGCTGCCCCATCCCTGGAAGTGTCCAAGGCCAGGTTGGACGGTTCTTGGAGCAACCTGGGATAGTGGAAGGTGTCCCTGCCCTAAATGGTCTCCAAGGTCCCTTCCAACACAAAACATTCTATGATTCTCTGATCTGTCATTATGGGTGTGCTCATGCATTTTAAGAGGCACTTGGTAGCCCTTCTGTTTATCTGTCTTGAATCTCCTCTGGTAGAAGCTTTAACACAAACTTCTTCTATTTATGAAATGTATTTACCCAGAGACCAGCTTTATCATGAGCCTGTAATTTACCCTCTAGCAAAGGGAAGGTGGAATTCATTTAGTTTCATTACATCTCATTTCTAGCTGTCAAAAAGTTAATTTTCTACTCTGAGCTCATTTCTTAATTGATACAATGATGGGAGAGTTTTGCAGAAGGAAAACTCTTTCACCCTCCCTCTTCTCGTATTCAGGCTACAAAAAAGCAGTTTAAACTAAATGCCTGCAGTTTAGGGGGGGGTAATGTGGGCTGGGAAGAATTCCATCTGTTATTTTCCTTTTATATAAAACCCACAGATTGGAAATGTTTTCCTTTACACACCTTTAACTTTTGTCTTCTTCCTTCCCCTCTCCCTACCCTCTCTCCAGGGAAGCTTATGCCAGAAAAAAGAAGGAAAAGCCTCCCGTTTTACAGGAGGAGCCAACCTCTTCCTCCTCCTCCTCCTCCTCCCCAGCTCCTGCTCCAGACAATCTGTTAAATCTCTCCTGCGGAGAGATAAGGACTGATGCAGCTGAAATTCCCTGCTGTGGAAGAAGTTACTGTGATGGCTGTAAGTGTTAGCCCCACATTTGTAAATTCAGAACGTCACACCTGATCTTCTGAAAGCAGAAACTGGAAGGAATGAAATGACTGGGTTACCAGTTCTAATTAATACTTCAGTCTGCCCTGAATAGGAAAGGATTCATCTCATGCAAAAAAAAAAAAAAAAAAAAAAAAAAAAAAAAAAAAAAAAAAAAAAAAAGCAGGATGCGTTTTTTCCCCTTGCTGGAAGGGACCAACCCCCTCCACCGCTTTGTTGCCTAAAATCAAAGAAAAAAAACCTCTGAACAATTTTAGTATAGGAAGGTAGAGAGCAGGTCTTTAATTAAAGTACCTTAAGATGCATAAAATACATTTTTGCACAAGCACACAGGATAGTTTTACAATTTTATAACACTAGCTAATTATCATATCCAATGGGATACACCCATCCCAAAAATTGTTTGTCCCTCAGACCCTCCCTCAAGCCCCCCTCCCTGAATTGGGTGGGTGGTCTTCTACCTTCCTCTACTTTCCTCTATCTTCCTCTAAATTCCTCTATCTTCCTCTATATTCCTCTCTCTTCCTCTCTTTTCCTCATGATGTTCTGTCCTGCTTCAAACAATTTCGAGGATTCTGGGCCTTCTGAATAGCTTTGACTAAAGTTAGGCCAAGGAATGCACTGGTTATATCATGTTCTTGAACACCCTCTACAGACTGGATGTCCTTTAGCTTGCTGAAGATCTCCATCTATTGAAATCCTTGACTAGAAACACAAGCAATATTTTGGTATTTGGTACGAAATTATTTAGTTGAAAGCTCTGTCCTAAAATAATTAAAAACTGCATTAAAATCTTTATACTTCTGGATCTTCAGGCATCACCTTGTGTATGGTGTGAGGAGGTACAGAATAACCCCAGGGTCCTGGGCATGCCCCTCCTGGCTACTGCAAAAATTCACCCTGTCCTGACCAGGACTAGGATTGTAGATCCAGGGCAGGAGGGTGGGTGGGCTGCTGGGTGGGTGTAAAATGCATCAGGAGCTCATGACTGGTGTACCTGGAGCAGTTCACACCCTTTGTCCATGGAAGTGGACACAGGGGCGGTGTCATTCAGCAGCCAGCATCATACAGTTCAACATCACAGACTGTTCTCAGCCAGAAATCAACTCCCATTAAAGGTTCACATCGTGCCTCCCTGCCCCTCTGCGTTACCCACTCAAGTCCTTGAGCAAAACCAACCCTCAAAATGGGTTTTGCCCTTGGTTGAGGCAGGACTAACCCAAACTGTCACCAGCGGAGAGGGAGAGTGGAGAGAGGCCTGGTGGAAACACCAAGACACAGCATCGACATCTTCAAATGTCACCACAGTTAAATGTCAGAACTTGTAGAGTTATTTGTGGCATATTAGAAACTGTTTCCACTGTTGAACATTTAGAGCCTCGTGCTCCCAATTCAGGACCGTGCTGACCCATTTTCAAGACCACATTCACCCATTAATCTCTTATGTGTTTTTACAGTTGGTGAGAACACCCCCCCCCCCCAAAAAAAAAATTTCTTTAGTTTGGCTAAAACCTGTTTTGATTGTTCTAATTACACACAGGTGTGAGAACAGCATTGCTGGAATCAGAGGAACACACCTCCCCAGCGTGCCATCAGACAGGTGTTTCTGCTGGTTCTTTAAATGCCAACCAGCTCCCAGGCCAGGTAACAACCACTTGCACTTAAACCGTTCGTGAGAAAAGCCATTTGCAAAAAGCAGGAAGGGAAATAAGAATTAATTCACATCTGTCAGCAGGGCTAAGTTGAATAGGGCTTAATTTATTTCTCAAACGTGTTTTCTGAAGTTACAGAAGCAGACAGCACTTTAGGCATGGTCTGGCAAATCCAGATCACACTTTTGCTGAACAAGGTCCCCTCACTTTCCAGTCTGGAGCACTTTAAATACAGGTGCCTCTCTTTGCTAACAGTGTTTAGTGGGATGTGCTCCTACATCTGTCATTGATTTACTTTTGGATTGACAGCAGTTACAGCAGCATACAAGTGATTCTCCTCTGGGGAGACTTTTGTTCGTAGATCTACCGATTACTGTTTGTAAATGTTCTTCTGTCTCTAGGCTGTGAATGACCTCCAAAGTGGCAAATCCACCCGGGAACTGTAAGTATTCCACAGAAATGGAATATATTGAATTTGTGATTTATAATGAAATAAGTATGCGCAGATAGTCGTGGAGAATAAAAGTGGTAATTAATTTTTAAATGGCTTCGTTTGAGTGGGCTTTCACAAAGGGGATCTGTGCTTACACCTTGGTTAGAGCAGAGGGGTGTGCAAGGCATTTCTCAGACATCTGGCCAGCAGAACACTCCTCTGTGTCAGCTGCAGCACCAGCGTTTTTCCTCCTGCACAAACTGACAGCTGAGTAGAGAACTTCAACGGGCTGAGGTGGCATTTTAAAAGGAGCTCTGCTCTCCGGGCTGAATCCTGTTTTCTCCGTGGCTGATATCCCACTACAGCCATTCCAGCTTGCTCTTTTTGCTTCTTCCTGCAACAAAAATGATTCCTGCAACTGCAGAGTAGTGACAGCTGTGTGCATTCTGCACCAGCAGAGGCCACTGTCACCCCCTCAAATCCACCCGCGGCTCTGGCACTTCAAGTGACACAAGAGAGTGGAGACATCCTGACCTTTCCCGGGTGTGTTTGCACTCAGAGAGCAGCAGCTGTTCTACCTTGTCAGCAGAAACTTTTAGCAGGTTACCGAGTTCTTCCACGGGCAGCAGCCCATGATGCCATTATCGTCAGCAGCTGAAACAAGCTTGGACATAACCATACGAGGAGGGGGAGAAAAAATAAAAACCCAAACCAAATGTGGGAGGAAAGCAAGAGGGAGGAGTGACTGTTTTGAATTAAGTTCGTTTTGTTTCGTTTTGTTTTGTTTTGTTTCCTCCCC